TTCTTCTTATTGGCTCATTCTATTCACTAAATGAATACTATGAATGGAACTCAAGGGGTGATCTTGATTCTTACAAATAGCATATGCAATTGATTTGAACAGTTCTTTAATTGAATCTGTAGACAAGCATATACTTTGATTTGTGTATATAGTGGACATGATTTCTATTTATTTTAATAATTTTATCATTATAATTTACAATTATATATTGTTTTATCATTGTTTGTATTGATTCTTTATATATTCCTGTGAGAAAGTTTTAATATGTATTTATGGCTAGTATATGTCTTATATTGTATTATTTTTATGTTTGACATGATTCATATTAATTGATCCCTAGCACAGCATTGTTAATTTAGATATAGGACTTTGTTCTGCTTGTGAATCTTGTTGTGATTTGCCTTGCCAGCATCTTGCTGACTTTGTCATATATATTTTTATATTTTTTAACTTGTTTCAACAGCTGTTGGAGCATATCTCATCTTTCTGTTTTGACGTGTTCTATATCCAATGGTTTTATACCTGTAACTGGATCTAGTAGAATATAATAAAGATATGATATGATATCAAATAAGCGTCAATTATTGATCCAAACCCCATGTCTAAACACTAACACATGACAACACAGTAATAGAGACACCTCTGTTACCAAAAGCAGAGTTGGACACATTGTAACTGATCATAAATAATGTGAGGTACACTCAAGTCTACACTTTACTATCAGGAACTCAGTAGAGAGAAAATGCAAAGTAATGGTGCAGTAAGTAGACAAGTGTCAAGTAAAATATGAATTCCTACTTTTAAAACAATTTCAGAAAATTATTATTGTTACACTTTTGACCTCTCCTTCCTCAGTCACATATTAAAAAGCTGGTCAAGATGGGCTACTTGATATCTTTTCATTACAGAATCTCATTCTTCTTACGTCCATCACTCTTTAATTTGACCAGGTATGCCATATCCTGGCCCTCCATGCAATAAAAATATTTCATTCTGTGTAAACCAGGATCAACTCTTCTGGATGATGACCAACTAGGAGAAAACTGTAACAATGGGCACCATGTTTACTTACAAAAAGAAGATGTAAATTAAAATAACCTGATTATGAATTACCCTGCCCTCTCACATCAACATTTTCAAAAACACTGGTTTGGCACACTCTACCTCACAAAAATATATAAAAAATAGAATGACTTTATAGAAATTATTTACACTTGATCCCCACAAGTAATGAAATCTGATAATAATCGTAACATTCAGAACTCTAGGCATTGCACAGATTAAGTTCATAGAGTGGACATCAACATGTGCTTTTTAATCAGTAGCAAACCATTAAGAAACAATTACATTTTAAAGTACTCATAAATGCACAAAAACTCTTCCAAGAGCATCAAGGTGCCCATTTGTACACATTGATGACCCAAGATGTATACCCTAGAGGGTAATTCCTCAAATTAAGGCCAGTTTAGGTGGTAAAAGCACTCAAGCAAAATTAATTTTCTTTTTCTAGCAGGCCAGTGTCAATCACTTTGAGCCCAGGCTGGAAAATGATTATTCTAGTCCACAATAAAGGCAAGGTAAGCTATATTATTTTCATTCATAAATTAACCCATAAAAATCTATCCCTGTAATAGGCTGTGAAGGCCCATAGTGTTCTGAGGTGTCAAGGATACCACATTTTCTCTAGACAATCAGCTCACTGATGGCGGAAAGGTCATCAGCCTTACGCACCGGTAGCCCTTTATCCTTCAGGAAGATTCCTGGTACTCAATTCTATTAGAGGCTGAGTTGACCCCAGGGCCATGGTGCAGCTGGAAGGATTGGGACAATTGAAAAGAAAAACACCTCATTGGGACAAATCAACCATATGCTTCCAATCCTTCTATCATTTGGTGGAAATCTATAACTTTTATTTTCAGGGCAAGAAGCTGGTAATCTCTAATTTTCATAAGCCTTTCAGTTAACTTGTGCTTCTTATGTTCCCTCTATACTGCCTACACTGGAATAAATTATCTCGATCAGGTGTGATGGCTAATAATTCAATGATTCTGCATCAACTATGATGTTTCATAAATAACAAACTGCAATGGATATTTAACAGGCTGTATGTCAATACTGTTCTTCTGCAAATATAAAAATGAAATATTTCAATAATATACTAAACCATAAAACCTTGCCTACTGTTTTACATGGGTGTGAAACTTGATCTCCACTGTGAAACAAAAAATGAATTGAAAAGTTTAAAAAATTACATTTAACTCAATAATAAGTTGAATAACTTTCTTTTCCAGTCTTTATTTTAAACATTCTTGTGTAACAGAACAATAAACTAGGATTCAAACAACATATTTCAAAGTGTGGTGCAGGGTATTAAAGCTCCTGTTTCAGCTTCCTTCTTTTTCTTGAAGTTTCTATGTCCTTTATGCCCAGCTTACGTTTCACAGGATCATCCTGGAACATTTTTAAGTCAGCGCAGAAGAGAATCTGAAAAGAGAAAACCAAATACAATTAGGTGCATTGGTGTATATAATTTTAAGCTCTGTTGTTTAAGTAGAAGAGGCTGGAACTGCACATTTTAATCATGAGATCTTAAGTGTTTAAGATACAGACTGGCTTCAATTGATTCAGGATGTGATACAATGGCAGACAGCCATGAATGCTGTTATGAACCTCAAGTTCCATAAAAGTTGGGAACAGCTGACAAACTATCAACTTTTCAAGGATGGTTTTTCACCATGAAATTAGTTGCATATGCCTGCAAGTGTGACTAATTCAGTAGTAATTGTAATAATTGAACAGACTGGTCTTTGAGTTATGTCAAAACACGTTTTTTACTGACTGGGGATGATTTCTCATTCATGGAGCAACTTTCAGGCTTTGCACTACCCCCGTGTGAGCTTCCACAGATCTGCCCCTCAATTTCTGTGAAAATAACCTACTAACAGTTAAAGTAAAGCATCAAAGTGAAGGTAAAAATGTAAATATGTGATTAAGCACTATGCCATTAAGACATATATGGGGGAGTGGATGCATAGATCCACATACTCTTGACCTCTGCATTAGGTGAAGGTGGAAGTGAGTGGTCAGCTTCATGCCCCAGCTGCATTACCTCTGGGTAAATCACCCCCGATATCCATTGGATAGGAGGCTGAGTGGGCCCCAGAGCCAATCTGGATGCTGTGGAGTGGAGAAAAATCCCACCCCTACTAGGAATTGAACTCTGACCCTTCAGCTATCCAGCCCATAGACAGTCACTATGCCAACTTGGCTAACCTGGCTCCCAAACATAGAGCATATACTGTAAATAATTAACAATAAACCAGCAAAAAGGAAACTCTAAAATTAAATTTCCTTAAATAGTACACTGTTTCCTGACACTGATCTCATCTTCATAGCTTATGGCTCACCATGTATTTTACAGTTGTCTTTAAGAATAAATTATACAAGTGCTGCGTATTGTCCTCCTCCTTACATTCAGCTGTCTGCAGTCCTTTGCAGACATTTTAAAATTCAATGAAGAATGATTATTTGTAAAAATTACCCACTTTAAAGATGAGAAACACAGTATAAAATGGCTACTGTACTTACTGTATGTGCCCAACCAGCTAAAGAACCATACAATGATCTGAAGTGGCTCCCTATCTCATTGTAAATTTTATCAGTGACTACCTTGCGACCTCTGAGATGAGGTAAATATCGCTGAACTGCTACCTGATAAATGTGAGTATCAACTGGAATTGCCTCCAAATGTCCCAGAGACATAAGGCAAATGCAATCTGCTACCTGCAATAAAATGAAACATGTGTGAATTAATTCAATGCCATTAAAACTGCATTATTGCAGGCACAAATAACTGAGACATGTCCTTGGAATGTGACTTCTGTCAAAGACATAATACTGAACGCATTGAAAAGGCCCAAGAAGTATAACGATGAGCTGAAAAACCCGCAGACTTTCTTCAATCTCAGTAACACAATTCTGGAGTCATCTAAAAATTTGAAGAGTGCCGAACTAAAGCCTCACTAAAATCTTAAAACCAATAGCAAATCTTCTGACTTCATACATTTATTTGAAAGTCAATATGTTGCTTTCTGATGCATCGCAGCTGGCTCCTAAATGTGGATATACATATGGGATGAGCCACTAAGTTTTGTTTAGTAATAATCATTAACAGGATGCAGGTAAAAACAGTCCCATAATGGGGCCCAAAGTTTGAACACAACCAACATCAAAGTCCAATACTTGGCACTATCCTCCACTATCCACCTCCCATCCTCACAATGTGTTCCCTTAAAATGATTTATCTTAATATTATTTCCTCATATCCACCTTAGTCTTCCAAGTGGTTACTTTCCAAGATGTTTCAGCATCAAAATTTTGTATACATTTATCTCCTTTATACAAGCCACATATCACACATGCAACCTCAGTTCCACCACAATTAGGAGGAAGAGTAGGTAAGTTGTATAAATTCCATCCATCAGTCACCATATTCACCATTCTTACCTGAGCACATTGTTTTCTTACTGTGTTGTTCCTTGACATTTAAGGTAACAGTACAGGTAAATGTGACCCTGCCCTTAAGCTTACATGGAATGGAGATAAAGCTCCATTCATTCCTGACACTGACATTAAAACTGTTTATATGCAAAACTGGTTAATCACTAGGGGAAAAGACACTCTTGCCTATTTGATAGTTCAGGTAAGCCCCTGAGACCTTTTGTACAGTGATGAAAAGAAAATTTCCCAGTCTTCCCACAAAGAATCACATCCCCTCTGTCCAGCCCATAGCCATTCGCTTTCTTCACAAAGTACCTGAATAAAACCTACCACGTGCTAGTTCCCGGACTAGGTCAAAAAAGAAATGCTGGCTTAACTTATTCAATTTTGGCTGCCATGTCCTTCAAAATAATCTCCTTGGGAATGTATACAGCGATCCCATCATTCTTTTTCTCCTGCTTCAAAAGCCCTGTGGAAGTAATTTTGCACCCTTTGAATGTCAGACACTTTTTCAAAATGTTGTCCCCTCAGTTTCATTTTCAATTTGGGAAACAAAGCAAAATCACAGTGGGCTAAGTCCAGCGAGTAGGGAGGTTGAGTAACAATAACCATGTTGTTGTTAGTCGCAAACTCTGTGGTTTTCACGGACATGTGGGCAGGCATGTTATCATGATGGAGCCAGTTGTGGTTGCGCCAAAGTTCCTACCTTTTTCAACGCACATTTTCTCTCAAGCATCTCAAAACATCACAGTGGACATTAGAATTGACCGTAGTGTTAGGAGGAACAAATTCACGGTGAACAATTCCTTGCACGTCAAAAGAAAAACATTGAGCATGTACTTTGATAAACTCCGGACCTGCAGCGCCTTTTTTTCTCTTGGTGATTGTGGGTTCTTCCATTGCGACAACTGCTGCTTTGTTTCTACATCACAGCCCTAAATCCAACTTTCCTCACCCAATATGATTCTAGAGATAAAATCTGGGTCCTCATTAGCCTTCTCTCATATATCAAGACATGCATTTACACACTGCTTCTCTTGATTATTTGTCAATAGTCAGGGAACAAACTTCAAGGCATTGTGGTGCATGTACAAATTTTCTGTTAAGATCTCCTGGCAAACTAAATAACTGATCCCAATGGTGTCCATCTCTCACAGACAAAACAAAACCCAATGTCAAAAAAAGCACTCATGTAAAAACAACACGTGTTCACAGTGCGATGTCACATGGCAGAATGATGCAATACATTTGAGGAAGTGTGACCTTCGCCTACCCTCTCATCTTCTTTCACTGAGGTAGTTACAACAATAACAGCCTGGGAACTTTCCAATAGCACCTTGTATACAGTAGCTCACCTTAGCACCAATTCCTGGCAATTTCTTTAGTTCCATCTTAGCTTCTTCATAGGACAAACTCTGTAAATGCTGTAACCAGTCAGAACCACCCAACTGCATGATTTTACATGCTGACTGGTAAATAAATTTGGCTCTGTATCCAAAGCCAGCATCACGTAGTGATTTCTCCACTGATGGGTCTGTGAGGGCAGTCAATGGGGGGAAGTCATAGTAAACTGTACCATCAAAATCAGCAATCTTATTTCCATATAAAATGCACAGTTTTTCCACCATGGATGAGATCCTGGAAAAAGTATAAATATTATAGTCTTCTAAGTAGATGCTTAGTAAGAAGTATTTTTCTGCCAAAATTATTGTAACCGTACGTCCCTCGTCGAAATTATATAATTAAGGGTATGAACTACTTATGCATTGTTTAATACCATGAGAGACGCTCCATCGGCGAGATACCATCCCGGGACCGTCTACTTGTAATTCCACTATTGTCCTCCTTAGGCTAAGGGTGCCGCTATTGTCCCTAACGTCGCCTGTTTACTCCCAGTATATCATAAACCCATGAACTGACCGTGTGCGAGACCGGCCAGGAGGGGTCTTGGATTCCTTGAAGACCTACAGAGGTTTATGGGCATCTCGAAAAATACGAATGTAGGGCAGATGTCGGGCTCGACCCTTGGATTTCTCTTGTTAGTTTCTTGTTTCGTTTTATGCCCATTGGGGGGACTTGAAAAGATGGGGGTCAGTTATAGGGAGCGAAGGAGGACAGTAGTTGGAAAGTAGATAGAGAAGAGAGAAGTGTTTAAGAGTAGTGGTAGCTAGTCGGCGGACGGAGCGGCTAGCTTGGAGAATAATGTAAATATTCATCATTAATGAAATTTTAAATTAAAACTGCAATCCACGGTGTGTTCTGGAGCCCCCCCCCGGGATTTATTTACCCCGAAGTGTGTTCCACTCCCATCTCCAAAGCACCCATATCCTGTGATTAAGAACTCAAGCTCGAGCGACAGTCGTGGCAACTGTACGTCGGCGGACGGCTGCATTATGCATGTTTCTTTATCCTTTTTCAATTTACATATCTTGCCAATATACCTCTTGGTACAAATATTATGTTTCTGGACATTATCCATCATCCTGCTTTTATCTAAAAACACAACATTTCAGAGACTGGATTCTGTCTCAGGTGAAACCTACTCAGTTAGGCCCAACTGATAGGTTTTACCTGAAGACAGAGATAGAATCCAGACTCCAAAATTTTGTGTTCAAATATAAACATGACGGTGTTTTCAGATAAAAACAGGATGATGGATAACGTCCAGAAACATATTTGTACTAATCTACCACCGTCATAAACTTTTAGGTCTCATCAATACCCCTTGATTTAACTATTATAATACCAGTTCCTCATTATAAACATTCTGTGTTTCCCACTTACTGTCTTGGGTCAAAAAAGAACCTTGGTATTTCCATATTAACAGATGATCCAAGATACTTTGAAATCTACTTACTGTTGCCCAGCCTGGCAGCGCACATGTAGTCGATCCACATTTTGTTCCCAACAATAAATCCACAACTGTCACTCTGATATAGCATTATAAATTACTTTGGAATAATGAAGAGGCATATGAGAGGAAGTGACAAGGGTCTTTTCCATAGACATGCAATTCTGCCAGGAGAATAAATATGTGAGAATAAGCATTCACTGAAGCTATATATCACTGTTTAAGTCTTCTGGCATTACATCATAAGACTTGCATAAAGAAGGTGAACATGTATGCTGGCAATTGGTTTGAAAATAGTTGGTTCTTCTTTATTATATTGTAACGTATGGATCCATTGCTAGGCAATGACACAGTAAACACACCTAAAACAATATGGGACAACAGAAGATGGTGTTTCCATGGAGTTTTCCCCAAGGCTATATAACAAGAAGCTTCAAGGGAGCAATGAATTAGATCTGTAATGACTTATGCTAGTCCCGCCTCGGAGTTTGCGGCAGATGCTCATCTAGTGAAATTGCAGCACCTGAAAAACAAGGTTCTCCACACCATTGGCAATTTTCCAAGGCGCACACCAGTCCGCGATTTACACATGGCATTTAAAATCCCGTACATATATGACTATATAATAAAATTATGCAGGAAACAAGCAGAAGTCATACAAAATCATAAAAATGAGAATGTTTGCAACATCGGACAAGGCGAAGCCCAACACAGAAAGTATAAGAGGCTTAAACTTGGCAGCGGTCAGGCATACTACCATTCAAGTGACTAGACTGCCATGTTAGCGTATACTGTTAGAAATAGGGCAAAATCTGCTGTACTGAGTCTGGATTGACAGAGGCCTTGTATATATTGTACATAGAAATAGGAATTAAGATTAAATTTGTAAATTTATGTAAATACTGACAATGGACTTACTAACACAGATTATGACTGACAAATGATAGACCCTACCTCTCGTCAGAGAGGGCGCCCCGAATGGATAGGACACTTTCATATAAGAAAAAAGAAAAAAAAAATCTGGTCATGAGCCCCAGCCGGGGCTCGACACCAAGACAGACAGACTGATGGTCCATCAGTTGCAACGTGACTTGGACTTGGGCTTGGGCTTGGAGCAATGAATTGCTGTTAGAAGTTGGGAGAGTTCAGTTGAAGAAGAGTTCATTTGAGTTAGTTGTTTTCAAGAACTGGGTCAAGTTCTGGAGATGGCAGTCTAAAGCGACTTAGGAGAAATGGCAAGAAAGGAATTAGACTGTGAAAAGAAGACTTCATGTGAGATTTGACAGTGAGACTGTTATAAATCTATTGCCAGGATACAACTAGTGAAGACTGAGAACCCAAGTGCATAAGTGTCAATAAATACAATCATCCAATCCAAAATTCATCTATAAGTCACACACTAACAACCCTAAAATGTGACAATATAGAAACATGCAATCTTTTGGATTACGCATGCCCTAAATTGACAGTAAATTTTCTGCATCACTTGTAATGTGTAAGTACTAATTAACAGCAGATACTGTTAAGTCTATGCCCCTCAAGTTTGGGACAATTATGCATCCCAGCATACTTTCTTGATATAACGATGCAAGACACTAAAATAAAACACAATTCTCCATAACCTGCATGCTTGACAATCCTAATAGACTGTTACTTCTGCACTATTCAACATAAATTCAACTGGTTGAATGCATTTATAATCTATCATTGAACCTTGCAATGTTGTTGTTGGATGAACAGATGAAAGAGAAGAGAGTCTCAACAGGATTCTGAGAGAGGATCCTCACTCCAGTAAATTTCTTAGCAGCCTTCTTGAAATGCGGATCCTTCTTTGACCACTGTGCATAATGTTCTTCAAGTGACACATCTAACCTAAAATACTTTCTTAATAAATCATCCTCTGATAAGCACTCATCATGTTTGGTAAATACATCACCATTTCTATTAATTTCAACATCTGCAACTTCACATGTGGGTGTCTTCTTTGGCATCCCTTTCACTCTACCTGCTGAGTGAACCCCAGAACTACTCTTCTTTGTGGATTTTAATTTTTCAGTAGTTTCAAGGGCAGGGCAATTTGTCACTCTGTACAAAATATATTCATTATTCTGTGATAATGTCCACACACGATTAGCAAATACTCCAGTCCATTCACAGTTACCAGTCTTCTTCCACCTGAGAAAAAAAAAAAAAAGAGATCATATGTGGGTATCATAAATGCTGTTACAACATCTCTATAAACTCTGTTTCCTTCATTAATCAATTATATATGGGTCTAAAGAAAAGCAATTACACCACTCACAGCAAAAGTTTGGTATTATCTTCTGACTGTAAGTACACAAATGCCAAGACAAAAGCATTGGCAAAGTTTCTTCATGTACTCCTTATTCTATCTCAATTACACAAATAGAATGTAACCTAACACCTGCTAGAAAGTGAGCAGTCTATCTTTAAGCTTGTACAGCAACTATAGTTAACCTCAGCTAACATATGGCGACAAAAGCTAGTTGCTTCATATGTAGTTTCTTGCCTATTCTTTCTCTAGGGCCACTTTCTTGCAAAACACTATCAATATGATTCATTTCATTTCATTTATTTCACTTTCTAATTGATCCTGATACAGGCATAATACAAGCCATAGGACATAGAATGAGTCACAAGATCAAAATTTAAGTTACAATAATTAATTGAAACATGTCAAAAACAAAAAACAAAACAAACATTCATGCAAACAATTATAAAGCATAAAGCGGACATACATTAAATTAGGTACATTCTTATGTAAAAATTCGCTTATGAATGCAAGCCATAACCTGTATTACATTCAACATTAAGTTTCAACTGGTCAGAGTGTAATCATGTTTGCTGTGTAGGCCTAGGCTGGTCATGGCCGTTCTTGACCCAACATTATTAAGTTCCGATGTACAGAATCAATATACTATGTGCTGCAACTATTCTCCATTTTGATTGCTATGCTTACCTGAAGCACTGGCCTCCGCATAAAGTAAACAGAAGCTCCAGTTCCGACCGTGGGCAACGAATTTTATTCCACATTTCTTTGTACCAAGATTGCCACAGCTTATCCAGCACAACACCGTAACAATAACAAATGGCACAAAGAACTTCAGGCTCTTATACCGCCACTATATTACAGTTCTGCAACAGTGCTAAATAAAGGACAACGAACTGTTCCCAAAGCTGCATAAACTGCTTTTCGCGCCATTTTACGTCATTAGTTGAACATACATACATATACATTTGCCTTTCAGATTATTCACAAATGTGCACAGGCACAGAATATAAAACATGTCAACAGCAGGAAACACATTACACATATTGAATAATTTGACATGTACAAGCAGTATTTACTGCCACGAAGGACTTACGAATTGTATATTACTTTAGTACTTAACGTTCCTTCACGTACTGCTCTTTGAATTTCCTCCCATTCCCCCTTCCGAAATAACAGAATTATTTACCGCAACCCAAATCGTCAAGCTCTACATTAATGAACAGATACTTTTTGCACAGGAATACTTGAAATCGAGTGCCATTTTATTCAGGAGAAGGTAATCTGCTTCATAATACTTTCAATATGCCACAAAAGCGAATGCCCTTTAGGTATGGCACAACAAAAATTCGTTTAACTATCTTTTTGATACTATTGCAGTAACGAGATGAGAATTCTATCAACATTTTCCGTGGTACGCCACTGCTTTATTTACTGTCCTTGCTGAACCTGGTCCTGCGTCCAGCATCCAATTCGTGGCGACGGCGTGATCGTTTCATTGTGATAGTTCAGGCCGGTTCTTCAGAGAACGTCTTTCTCTTCTCTTTAAGGGTGAGTCAGGAAATTATCTAGTTTGCTTGTTAGTTTCGTTATCTTGTACATTTCACGTTGTCAATGTAGTTAACAAGAGTATTTTCCATTACTGGATACTCGTAACCTCGTAATAGCGAGTCACGTCGGTAGTGTGCGTCTATTTATAGCTTGGTGTGCGTAGTGACGTACAATATAAACCCCACCCTCCCAAACGGGACTGAATAAAATAATTTAATGGGAAGTTACCAGACCAAATGTGTGTACACCGTTGAAGGCGGCATGCGGAAATTTTCATAATAAACGGCAATGACATCGTCCATAAATGCGTATATCCCAACGTAACATTTGCATTTATAATGTTACATGTTTTCCTGACACTAGTTTTCAGGCTGCAGTACATACACTGCTGGACATTTAGATATACCTCCACCTTTGAAAAACCTTGGGCTTATGTATGCATTACAGCATGATAATTAAAATGTCAGGAAAACTGACATTCATGTAACATTATAAATGCAGATCTTAAAAGTATGATGTCTGCACATATGTATTGTGTCAGCTCCATTTATTATGAAAATTTCCATCCACCTTCTTGAACAGTAAGTTTATCATGAATCATATCCCATCAGTTCTGTGGGAAAAGGATACACATTATTTGACAGCACATCATGTCAGTACTTTGAAGACTTAAACTTAAAAATTCTGATCCTATCTTACAAAGAATGCTGTAATTACCATTACAAACTCCACTCCAACTAGTAAATGTTTATGTAAATAATCAGTGTCTATTCAGAAAATTATATGAAATCCATTCATGAACAGTGTGAATAATAAAGAGTTTGCAATGTTCAAGGTGGTACATACAGTAACTAGTGTTTTAATAGGTTAATGTGTAACAAAGACATTAATATTTATGATTATAATTTTTATTAAGAACGTTAAAACAAATTACATATGCAAAATATTTAAATCTTATACTGATTTTATCATAATTTAAAAATAATGATGCTAAAGGAAACTAAGTATAACTTGTATAATACAGCACTGTAAGACATTATACATTATACTGGTACGAGTTTTGTATCCAAGTTCCAAACACAGCTATGAACTCGTTCAAAATATTAGCTTTATTCTTCACCTGAACCACAGGTCTATAAAATATATGGTTCTAGCATAATTTGCTAGAAAACCAATGATATCTGTACTTCACAAACACAGAAGCCTACATAATTTTCCAGCTTGAGAATTTCACTTTCATGAACTCTTGCTAAAATTCCCACAATGACGTTCTTTACATTTTTAATTTCTGGAAACTAAAATTCAAGAGTCTCATCATAAGCATTCGTTTCTCCCTCTTATCTCATTAAATCCTGAACCAGATATTTGCATCCATCCACCATCAAATTTCAGACCAAATAGATCATACTGCATTCCTAAGTTCAGTAATTTTAACACATAGGCCATAAACATTAATGGATGAATACATAATTATGATTAGATAAACTGTAATATATGTTCATACGGTAACTACTTTCATTCCTTCTATAGTCAGCTTAATTTTATACCACAGGTGCATAAAATGTTTCATTAAGTTTTCTTAGGCCAATCCTATAATCGAGAATTACTGCACTTGGAAACTAATTAAATAATACAGAGTCAGTTTGGTTTCCACTCCTCACCCATTTACTCCAATCTATGCAGTGCCGATTTTAAATATTTATCAAAACTACTTACGCCATTAGACTTCTCAGTTTATAGCTATTTTCATGTACACAATTGTGCAGTATTGTTTATGACTTGATCTAAAAAGAAGTCACAATCCATATGAACTGTTGGGACCCTATTTTGAAGGACTTTCCATTAATATTTATAGGGTATCTGTCCACAGTACACTTCAGCTTCCATGCAGTAATTCTCATACATACATTTGTTAAGATGTCTGGGATACATATGAATACTTAACAAACAAAGCTTCTAACAAACATATTAAAACCACATGTAGAATTTCCATGGATGGACCTTCCCATCAAGCTGTTATGATTCCCTCTCCAATTATCTAGTCACCCTGTTCACACAAATGTTTGCAGTGGGGGGCCTGGAGGGAAATATAATTGGCAGAATGGGGGAAGCCTTAAGTGTCATCATTCCCATCTTACATGCAGACTTATTTCCATGCATTCAACATATAGTAGTATACAGAAAAGGAAAACAAACTGCTGTATCAAACTTAGATATATACCACATTAAAAGCTGGGTTTTGATATATAAGAAAACAATAAAAAAAAAAACATTTAAGGGCATACTGCATGCATACCATTAACTGCTACTTAACTAATATAATTAGTGCATGATGTTGCAGAAGTGTTGTGGCTATATACTAGAATACAGTTGTTAAGTTGTGAGATTTGAGGCTTTCACGGCGGTGACTATGAAGAAAGAAGTCTTCTGGGATTTGGCACCGTGTATATGTGGTGTTAACCGACGTTCCTCCGAAACATCGGTTAACACCACATATACATGGTGCCAAATCCGAGAAGACTGCTTTCTTCTCAGTACTTAAGTTCTCTGCTATGCATAGCAGGATGTTCTCTGGTAATACTGTACACCTATCCACAGCATTCTTATTTCCTTAACCCTTCCTAATATTTTGATGAAATTTATTACAAGAAACCCTGACAAGAGATATTTATGGAATATGAATATGGGACAGGTTGTCTAATTAGGCCTGATTCAACTGCAATAATTCACACTGACAGGTTGTCTAATTAGATCTGATTCAACTGCAATAATTCACACTATTTGGTGATATTATTCTACATGGTTCCTCCATTGTGCTACATTAAATTATTCATACATTTTTGCATAAGTCTGTTTTATCGAATTACATAAATTTCTCTTTGACATTTCATGTAAACTATTTTGCTCAACCCTAGAAGTAGGAGTAATAATTCTAGCAATGGCTGACAGCTGCAACTTTTGTCTCAGATAATACATCTCACACACTTCACAAATTACACATCTTTCCTCTCAGTAAATACATCTCAGGCACACAACACACTAACAAATTAAAAATATTGTCTTGGTAAACATGTTTCACACACTCAGATCAAAAATCAGTAGTTTCATGTTTTGGACATTCTTTCACTCTCAAAACTGTGGTTAAGGACATCTTCACTAACTCATGGCATGTTATTAAAAGTGTAAAATTTACATTACATTACATTACATTACATTACATATGAACACTTTATCAGACTTCATAATACTGAAGTCCAGTTAACACTACATCCAGCTAGTCTCAATCCTAAGCATTTAACCCCATTTCATACTATAAAAACCTAGGGCTGTAAACATTAAAAGTAAAGCTATTCCTGTACCAGGCCGTGAAAGCCCATAGGGTTGAGAGACGTTGAGGGTCCCACATTATCTGGACAATCAGCTCAAAGATGGTGGTAAGGTTGTCAGCCTTACGCACCGGCCGTGCTTTACTCCCCAGGAAAATTATTTAATTAATTCCTGGTACTCANTAGATCAATATACAGTCTAAAGGACTATAATGCAGTTTCCCTATGCAGATTTCATGAACCTCTCTAAAGGAAAATCCCATGGATTAATATCACTACACAATATACCAAACCTTCCCATGTTTAGAACTAGCAAATCTGTGAAGTTACCCAAATGTAAGAAACAAAAACTTATAATGAATCTAGTACTGGCAGAATATATGTTACATTTTCCCCCTCCTACCCTAGTAATAACAAAAGGTAGTTTGGGTTCCCCCCCCAATCTACTGGCAATAGCACAGGACAGCCTGGACTTTTGTCAAACTACAGCAAGAATCCCACTGTCATGATCCCAGTGCATTTCTTATAGCAAACATAATGGATAACAAACTGGCTATGACTTGAACCCATGTATATTTTCAAGTGTCTGAAAACTTCCAAAGGGAGACGCTCCACTATCATGCCAAATCTGGTTGAAAAAATGTAACAATGTGGCAAAAGAAAGCTCTTTTTATAATTTGAATTATTTCTTTTTATAGATATAAAAGATATATCATTGGACCATGTATACGACATAAAAGCAAAATACAGTCAGTGATATCTGCATCTTAGCAGTTCAGCACACTAATTTCAAAGCAAAAATGTAAGGTACTGGAACAACTTTATCCAAATGCATGCTTATTCTCCACACCACTATTTAGCTAGGTAAACATTCAAATATACACCCAGTAATACAGAAAATTTTGATGCTAGCATTTATAAAATGTCTCAGCACCTGACGTATCACTTAATCTTATCTCTAAATCCATATCAGGATACGTAAGTCTAATTGTAATATATTTATCTCTAGTGTAGTTGCAGATGATAACTTGGGATAAATCAATATATTGTCTAATACTTCTGTAACCATATTACAAAGTTTTACACCTACACATAAAATGAGGGGATATGCACATTTTCTGATCACATTTAGCTAAGCAATTCTGTTACACCTCATCTTACAAGTACAACAGCATGCCTGTTGGGTGGTATGAAAACGATTTTTAACCTCACACTTTCCTCTCTTCAAAATGAAGCCATGGATACAGAATCTGTTTTCACTGCAAAACAGAAACTAAAAAGAAATGGAAATATTTAAAACCACAGAAATAATAATAAATTTTCACCCTACACATTATGTAGAAACATATCTTACATTCTTGAACAATGTAATGATTTTTTGCAGGTATGCTCAACGAGGGCTTCAAATAATTTTCAGTTAACATTAAAAATTCAGAACTTCAAATATCATGACAGTATTTAAAATACAACTTTCATATACTCTCTGCTGATCACTGTCATTTAAGATTCAGGGCACAAAGAGCCTTAATATATTGAAGGGTTTTCTTTTTACTTCAGTTTTACCTACCACTTGGACTTGTGCACAAAATACAGCACTTTAAAACTGAGATGTACGAGTATACACATAATTTTGTAGTTTGTACAGAAAACCATGTTAAGAAAAGTCCATAACATGATCTGATCTGTTTGAATAATGATCTACTCCCTCTGAAAGTTTCTTCAGATCAGTTTTCATGAAGTCACCTAAATGAAAATAATTTTGTTTTAAATAAAATTACCTTGATGTGAAGAGTAGTCTTTTGGGTTGTAATACCATGAGTTCAGAGAAACCTAACATTTCAGAAGAACCATCACCTCCACATGGTATTACAACCCAGAAGTCTGTACTCTACTCCCCAATGTCAGAACTTCAACAGTTTATGATTACTATTCATGAGCCCTCAGGAAATAAACTAACACAGACAACTAAATACATTTATAAACATTATGAATATGTGAAAAAGTTATTTGATATCTTACCACAAGTAAAAGACTACAATTTAAAAGTACATACTTTTTTAGCATTTGATCAAATTTTATACAGAAGTTCACCATTTGTGGTGTCAGCTAGCACTGTTAGTTATTTCTCACTCTGTGCTGCAACATTATCATGGTATGCTGAAACCACAAAGATGGGGAACTAATTCACAGCCATATTTGATGCAATTAGATGTGACCACGGTGTGGTACTTGTTATTTTTGTATAGTAAAACAGAAGTGGGAATTAGAACAGCCAAATTGTTTACAGTAGTGAATAGCACAAAACTTTCACAGTAATTTGAACCCATGAACTTACAGGTCACAAAGCTACAATAAAATGCTCTACTGTTCTTCCAAGCCAAACTGACAGAAATATAATGGCTCCATCTACAACCATACCAACTTTGTATAAGTAACCTAAATAATGCAGTGTATACTTGTACATCTACCTGTGTATGTCTCCAAATTTCTTCAATATGATCTGTTCATATATTTGGCTTATTTCAATTTTTTTATTTTAAATGACATGAAAATCCTTTATTTCTGTGGGTGAGAAGGTATGGAGATCTCAAAATCTACTGAGGGAAAATAAGATATCTTGAATAAAAATTCTCGTTTTCCAAAAGATAGGATGCCATAAATGAAATTTGATTTGAACATGTGTAGGGTCCAAGGGTCTCACAGCGGTGGTTTCGAACAGTTCCATCTTTTAGGCTATAACGCCTCGTAGTCCGTTGACAGTCAACCGATATTTCTGAGGAACATATTGCCTCTATCTTCAGAGTTGAATAAGCCGATCAAGATACCATGAAAGCAGGTGGCGATCAGCTGGCCAGTAATTTTGAATTACATAGAAGCATGAGGGAAATGGAAGAGTCGACCTGTTCCTATTGGTTCCGTGGGACAAAATGAAACCATATGACCACGAAGCAAACCAATAAGAGACAGGAACAGGAGTTTATGAGACCCTGATAAGGGACTTTTCACTGGTCTAGGGAAAAAAAAAGATAGGGCAAGGAATTGAGTGTAAGGGAGAGAGGTGGAATGAGTGTGTTGCAGTATGTGGTAGGGGATGAGAGAGCAGTGGTAGTGAAAGGAATACAGGACATCAAGGTGGAGGCTGGCAAGTGCCCGGAGACGGCATATTTTGTGTCCTGATTATGGCAGTGTGCATGGACATGTGTGGCTCCACAGAGAAATGAGATCTACTATCATGTGATGGAGGCTTCCTACGATCTTTCAGGAAGCAGATGAGAGGTTCCCATGACTTGCTCAGTCTGAAGCCATCTTCCCTCTTTATATTGCTGGGATGGAGTTCAGTCACCTCCCTGATGATGCAATCCATGTATCTGGGTTTGGTGGAGAGGATGGCAGTGTGGTGTAGCTGGATGCAGCGCCCTAAGCTGATACTGTGCTGCCACAGCTGACCTGTCTGAATGTTCTAGATCAAGGGTCTCCAAACTATGGCCCGCAGGCCACATGCGCCCCGTGATGTGGTTTTATCCGGCCCGCGAAAGAATTGTGCAGAAATGCGCAAATTTAACTAATCTTCCAGTGAGTACTGGTAAGAAAAATACTTGTTCATAGATTTCAAATTCAAATTGTGTTTAAAATATACTGATATTCCATATTATGTTAATACTGTGACATGTTGAGCTATGGATAACGCCCCTCCCCCCCCGCCAGCCGAAATGAGCCGAGCGGAGCCGAAGTTAGCCGAGTCCCAGCATCCTGGTCGCTATGCAACGCGAGTCAACAGCGATGACGTCACCAAGGGTACCGCGGGTTGCTAGGCAGCGCGGGTAAACAGGATTGCGAGAGACGGTGGTAAC